CGTACAGCCACATTCCCACGGCCGAGCGAGGAACTCGCCCGGCCAGCCACATCTATTTATTCATTCTTTTGTATTCATTTCGGACTATCCTGCTCCCAAACTACATGGGAATTACCGCTCTTTGAATCACTTTTTCCCTCAGTTCTCTTTCGCATTATTTGCTTGAGACTGAGTTGCCCCGCTTTGTATTACTTTAGAATTGTCATTAAAAGGGAGAACTACACTACTTACCTGAAGTGGAAAATGTGAGAAGAAGGTTACTTCTTCAGTTCCCACTTCAGGTACATTTATGTACATGCGGCTTGGGTCACATGATGGGTGCCATGTCATCCTCGGAGAGAGCTGCAGCCATCCAGGTGTCCCGAGAGCATCCACTGCAGGTGCATGTGCTAGGCATAGTGGGAAGCCGGATGGGTTAACAGTACAATGATACAAGGGAAAGTGGTCTGTGTAAATAGAAGGAATAAACAGAAAGGGAGAATGAAATAAAGGAGAAGGAAGAAAAAGAGAAAAGGGAAGAAAGAGAAGGAGAAGAGGGAGGGAGGGGGAGGGAGAAGGATGGGTAATGGGGGAGTGGGTGAGGTGGGCCCAGGTGGGCCTGGGTGGAGCTGGGTCAGGCGGGTGTGCCCTGACATCACCCCCTCCTTAAGCCGCTTTGCCTCGAAGCGGCCAGATGGTTCTCTCTCTCTCTCCCTGGGGCTTGGGGATGCATACTGTGGAATCCCTCAATCCGGTTGGGGGCATGGGCTAAGTGGTCCTGCTGGAGCCATTGGTTCTCTGAGCTTGGCCAACCAACAAACTTTACCAGATATCAGAGTTTCTGGCATAGCCACTTAGAGTCCAATACCTTTTTGACCTCGTACTCTTCCTCTCCATCCACAAGTTCCAGACCTGGGCAGGGGTCAGTGGGTCGTTCTGCAATGTCATCCAGGTGGTGTGGTCTGATGTTCATTACAGATACAACCGGGTGGATTCCCTTCTGTCGTGCGGTAAGTTGGAGTTTGATGGTGGCCAGGGAAACAACTTTGATGATCTTGAAGGGGCTGAGCCATTTGTGGTCCAGCTTTTTGGTCGGATGGTCAGTCATGTAGTTTTGGGCACTGAGCCAGACTCGGCTTCTTGATACTTTGGGGCTGTTTCGCGGTCTTGGTCATAGTAATGGGCCATCTCGTCTGCTGCATGTTCTAGTGCAGCCTTCGCCTCCTCCTGCATTTTCATCATCCTTGATGAGAACATGTCAGCAGCCTCCACCTCGGATGTGTGTGTGGGCTCCATCCCCATTCTGGGGTGTTGGCTGGTGTCGAGTTCGAAAGGAGTTCAGTGGGTAGATGAGTGAATGTGGTTGTTGTAGGAGAATTCTGCCAGTGGGAGCCAGTCCACCCAGTCATCCTGGCAATGATTGATGAACATCCGGAGGTAGGCTTCGATCTCTTTGTTGACCCACTCAGTCTGTCCATCCATCTGGGGGTGGTAGGGTGTCGAAGGGGTTAGTTTGATGCCTAGGAGGTCCGTGAGCTCTCTGGAGAAGTGTCAGAACCATGCAAAGCTTCACCGATGATAGCCGTAGGTGACCAAACATTGGCTGCTAGTGATACAGGCGTCCTAATCACGACTGAGGATTAACCTCACCGATCTCGAGGTCGAGGCTACTTAGGTGAGCAGGCCGGGATTTCGGCTTCAACGACTCAGGGAGGAGCGTTGTGCCTCGTTCTCAACGCGGTCCCGATACTTCAGAAGGCAGAGGTCTTACAGGGAACAGAGGTAAGCTTAGGGGGAAGTTCTAGTTGATTTTGAACTACAGTACACACAATAGTTACAAGCTGTATATAAGCGCTAGGGAACTGAATAGATAATAAGTCACCAGATCTCATGGAGATTGCGGGTGGAGGAAAGAGAAAGGAAAACAAACAAGGAGCATGTGTTTAAGACAGCGAAGGTCAAATGTGACCTTCGCTGCGAGATAACAGGGTGCGGCGAAACATGGGACAACAGGTCGCAGCACTCTGTGCCGCTAGGTCATTCAACAACAATCAGGAGAGGGGTCGTTGAGAAGTGGCGGGAAGTGGTGAGAAGATGACAGGCGGCAAGCGGAGTGTGCAGGGAGTGTTTGGGCATGGGAAAAGGTCGGGGAGGAGGGTGTCTGACTCTGGGGAATGCCGGGTCATGACAAGAAGCGGGAGACGAAGGCAGTCCCTCTGTCGCTGAGGATTTCCTCAGGGAGCCTGTGGTGCTTCCAGATGTGCTCTAGGAAGAGCTGTGCGATGCCCTCCAAGTCTACAGTCGTTATGGTGGGGACCGCATGGATACATTTGGACAGGCGGTCCACTACCACGAGGATGGCATTGTAGCCCCTCAACTCTGGAAGCTCTCCTACCATATCTACTGAGATCACCTGCCAGTGATGGGACCACTTATTTAGGGTACATCATGTGTTATACTCTTGCATATTGTTTACTTATACCATTCAGGTACACATTCAATCAGAACATGCTTGTAAGGAGTGGTAACCCCACCCTTCATTCATTATCTTATTGTATATTTGTCTTGATTTAAACATGTATAAACAATGTATTACAATAATGTGGGAATTTGGGAAAAGGAACAGAACTCCTTTTCCTCCCCATCATTGATAATTAAAGCTCCATACAGCTCAACTTTATTGACGACCTGAGGATTGAGGAGAACTGGGGTTGGAACCTACACCAACCCCTTACAATGCTGTTGGCTACATCAAGGGCTGATTCCAGTCATTGCAGGGACTCTGCCAGCAGATCAACTCTGCCTGTGATCATGCACTCATGCTGGCATGGGTATGTACATGCATTATGATTCACACCCTTGCTGCACAGTATGAAGGGGCAGGGGAAGAGGCTGACTTCTGGGAGTGGGTTCGTGATGGACTGGTCAATCAACTGGATGAGGGGGATGATTGTGAGCCAGTTAGTGGTTTCACTTGGGGGAATAGTGAAGCAGCAGTTTCTGGTGAGTCACCTGCTCAACAGAAGCACCATCATGTCCAAGAGGCACTATTTGTATGTCCCCAAATCAGGCTGAAGGCTGGAGAATGAGAAATTGGAGCAACACCATTTGAAGGTCCAGGCAGTGGTGAATGTACAGCCTGGCATTGTAGCTGGAGCAGGTGTCCATACTGAGCCTCAACTGCTGCTTGCTCCTGATCATGCTTAGTCGCTAGATGGAATTCACCAAGGATGTCATGCTTGCTGTCCTTTTGCTGAAGGGAATGTGATGGAACTGGGGAACTGGATGGAAGGGTGTGTTAATAAGTGTTAATGGTGGTGATGGCATTTTGGCCATTTTCAGTTTTTGGTCAATGGGTTCTGGATCAAACTTGGGGGACAAAGTTGGTGTATGGATTGCTGGAGAGCTGAATGGTGAAGAGAGGTTCATCAGAGTGTGAGAAGAGAGGTCTGCTCCATCCTTCTACAAAGTTGTGAAAATTGTTTCAGTAATTCAAATAGAGATACAAAATATACCTCAGGATCACTTTGACCATATAGAGCGGCCTCACTGCCACCTCCCTTATCACTGAGCAGAATGGAGGAAGGGTGATTGGGAGAGTCAGTAGATTCATCCAGCAACTTCTCATATGCAGCAGACAATTCTTTTCCTGGTGCTGATGAGTTTGAAATCAACACATCAGAATACTTTGGTTGGCCATCCCACCAGGAATCAAGGATGTCAAACCATGGAAACTCATCTAGAATTTGTTCTTTCAGGTCATGTCAGTGGAATGTCTCATATCCCGGAATCCTGACCCCGCACTCTCCCACCTCACTACACCTTCCTAACAACCTCATCACCCCCTACACCATACCTCCCCACTTCCCATCATCACCTTCCATCCCAACTGTCTCAGCTCCAGCCTGGATTTTGGCACACTCACCCTTGACCACTCCCATCCCGGAAGCTCGGTCCCAAGTCAGAACATTCGGAGACTCCGGATTTGCTCTGACCTCCCAATGGATCTCCAACATCGTGTGACATACCTCAAAACCATTCCCCCTCCCATTTCATTTAATGGAGTCACCCAACATCCTTCAGATATGTAACTCCGGCTTTGGAGCTACCCGCATCCTCTGGTAATCCTGCTCACATCATCATAAATTAGTCACCTCCCATTTGTAGTACGACTGTTGTCTTCTTTCCATTCAGTCAGCTAACTTCCCCTTACCCATTTCTCGTTCCCATTTATCCTCCGGCCTTCTACTCCACCCTCCTCAACCCGACACCTCAGTTCCCTGTTAAAGATATCGTTTGGGACCTTTCGGTGTTTGTCAGTATTACTCAGACTTTGACTAAAGTCCTTCTCCTCCCCCCTCTATATATACCTGTAGATTAGAACCCATTGTACCTCAGTTCTAATCTCGACTAAAACTTACCCCAAGTCCCTCTATGAGTGAATCCTGACCCCCTCCTACAAGATACCTCAGACACATGAAATGAAAAAACTAACTGAGACATAACAGAGGCACAGTGCTCCCTCCAAGTTGCTGAGGCCGTGTCCTTCTTAGAGCCTCTTGTACCACCCAGCAGACTCGGGCTTCCTGGAGAAGCTTCGGTTCACTACTGGAGCTCTCGGAACCCCTCTAGTTGAGCCCCACCTGCATTCGGACTCACACACGTTACCTTTGTTCAGGGTTTTTGACAGAATGGGGGAGAGCATGTAGTCAGCCACCAGGGAACTCACCATGCAAATTATTAGCATTTGCCTCATCATGCTTTACTCCTGTTCCAGTGACATGCTTAGATTTCTTTAGTCTACTGTACAGCTGCCCCAACCTAAACTGTCACTGAGGAAAATGCTATAAAACTGCATACACTCACTCATGTTGCAAGGCACCCCATTACTGATGTACTATAATGTCAGGGGACAGACCCTGGGTCCCCATGACCCCTCTCTACAGTCCACAGTCCAACCTGTAAACACAGCCCATCTCAGGGCAGGACTACTGTGGGTAAGAAAGTGTATAGATAAAGGCAATGTAGAATACACTTGCTGTCATGGCCCCGCAACACTGTAGGGGTGGTGGCCACAGACACCCCAGAACAGGCAATATATCGGGTCTCACATGCAGGATAAAATGTTAGAAAATCCTACAGTGGAAAGTTGACTAGGAATTAGGTGACGAGGTCATAGTATGGATGGTAGAGGATGTCGAGGCGATTCTGACGCATGTTACATGAGGAGAATCGGTGAGGTATTGACAGAGATACACAGATTCCAGTTGTGTATCGCGATGCATGTCACATGTTTGTTGCGCATGCGTGGGAAATGGGGTGCACAGATGGTCCCTGGCATCCCTCAGGCTTCAAAAAAATATTCATTGTTCATGGTATGACTGGTCGGGAGGATGTGCCAATTTTGGGATTATGGCGACATGTGGTTGGAAAGTTAGGAAAAATGTGCCGGATATTCCCCACCTCAACGCTATCTCACTCAATTCTCCATCAAATTGGATGCAGTTTGTTGCGTTGGATAGCTGTAGTTTAGGCAAGTTGGTTGACGTAAAGGGAGCGCAGTTGTGTCGAGTGGTTTGGGCTGGAGATGCAGGTGGGTTTTTCTGTGGCCACTTTCTATTGTTTTATAATTTGTTGCTTGTGATATTGTGTTTCCTATTCTATTATCTCTTGCGACGTGACCAGATGAGTCATATGGAACATGCTGGAAGCTCGCAGACGTGTTTGCAGGGTCGTTTGTATATAATATTAGCCAGTTACATTTGTAACAGAGATTTCCCCTCCACTATGTTTAGATCTGGTCACAAAGTGAAGTGTGCTGGAGGCGTAGTCAAGTGCAGTAGTCTTGAGGGAGGCAAGGAAGCCTCACAGTGTCCTCAGGGAGATCCACACAGAGTTATAGGACGCCGAGTCCCAGTTGAGTTTTCAGTTTGGTCTTGATCCCGTCCAAGGAAGCCGCTTGCTGGCCCCCTTTTTCGTTTCTCATCCTGTTGGGTGGGAGTAGGTGTGGTGTGAAGTAGTAGAGGTTCAGGTGGTGGTGGTGGTAGGTTGGTGTACTGCTGTGCCGCTGTGCCACTGTGCCGCACATCCATTCCCTATCCTTTGCCCCCGTTCCCCCCCCTTGTGCTTTGCTACCCCGCTTGCAATGCCCCCATCTTTGCACTACTTCTGTCACTTACACCCCATCACCATTCTTGCGCCTGTTGTTCATGCCCATTGCCCATCACCCAGCAGCACCAATAGTGGCCTCTGTCCATGGTCCCATAGCAGCTCCTCCCCCTTTCCCATCACCACTTTAGTTCCCCTGACATTCGGCCGCCATCGTTCTATTCTTATTCATTCGCTTAACTTACTAGTGACCGATACTGTTGCTGTTGATCCGCTCCTACATTGACATTTGATCCACCACTATATTGGTGCCTAGTTTGCCATCTCTATCCACTTCGCCATCCTTTGTCCATTCACTTTTCACTCCCATTCATTCCTTCTGTTCCCTTTCCCTGGTTCTCGTAGATTGTTAGTTTTGTCGCACTCATTATTCCGCTCCCATTCCCGTGCCGGACCGACCGGCCCCTTCTCTGTTCCTGTTTCATATTTATATCTTGTAAAGTACTACCTCTTACCTCAGTTCGAATATCGACTAGAAATCCCCCCAAAGTCCTCTCATCTTAATTCCGCCTTTAAGCTTACCCTCGCTTGAGCCAATGTTGCTGCAAGGTCCCTCCCGCTAACTTGAAATACAGGACAGCCTAGAACACGTGGCGCAATGCTCTAGTTAAGTCGTTGAAGCTGAAGTCCCATCCCCCACGACGCCTTGCAATGGAGTAGCAATATTAGCTAAGTGTTCACTCATGCTGCCACACTCCGCTCCGCTTCCTGCGAATACCACGAGCGCCATTTCTGACACTTGCCTACTGTGGGTAAGAAAGTGAGAAGAAGGTTAACTTCTCACTTTCCCACAGTGGCCCCAATATGGCGAAAACTTCCGGGGATATGTGGAAGGATGGGAACCGGGCCCGGAGCATGCGGCATGTGGGGCATGCGGGGCAGAAGTGCACTTGCAGGTGCGGGTGCAGGTGCAGATCCGGGTCCGGGTCCGGGCTAGTCAGGGTTTGTGCCCTGACATATAATGGGCTTTGTTAACAGAAAAGATTCTTGCACAGGCTCATCTTTGATGTCAAAAATGGCTTCAGCAAGGATTGGATAGTAGTTAAGTTTTCAGCTGACCATTTGTAACCTAGTTATCACATAAGTATAAGCTTGAGATTCAGCACACCTGCACCCAGACTGGCTACTGTCAGGCCATGCCGCTCCCCTCCTCTTCTTCTCCTTTTCCTCCTTTCTGTTCTTCCCTCTTTTCCCTTCCACTTCTCTATCTTTATAAGGATGACCTTCCCTTCTCTCCTACACCTGTAGCATGGACATGTCCGATGCCAGGCACACATGGGTACTGCAACGCTGGACATGCCGCACATCCTTACTTGTACTTCCTCTCTCTGACACCCAGGGTCAACCATGGAGCCACCCGCAAAAACCCAGCCTAGTCCGGGGCTGACATGGCACTTCCATGTGACCCATTTTCACATGTATATAAACTAAGCCAAAACAGGACCAAAGAAGCAGCCTTCTTCTCACTCCTGCTTCAGTCTGAGAAGCCACGTAGGGACATAAGCCCGAGTAGGGGCTGCCCACCATATGGTCTCACCGCCCTGCTGCCATCCGGGCCACCAGCACCAAGTGCTATGCCGCTACACTGCTACCCCGCCTCTCTCGAGCTGTCCCTGACAGCTACAAACTTTCTTCCTGTCCTGGGCCACAGCTTTCTTCTGTGAGTTGCTGAAGAGTTTTAAATGCACATCTTCATGTTCTTCAAGGTACCAGACAAGCCACCATGTCCACTCAGGGTTTTCACCCCACAGAACCTTGTGGTGTACATCCACCCTCATCGGCTCAGACACAAATTGTGAAGTGCCTTGAGCTTTTCTTCCTTCACATCCATTGCGGGTTTTGTTTCAGTGCTGTTGAGTACCCATTTCAGTGCCTGCCTCTGGTCCTCTGGCTGGGGATCTTCATTGTTATGTTTATGGCCCCTTGGTGGTATGGGAGTGACCAAGCATGTGGGGACAGGATGAAGGGATGTGATGGGGGACAACTGTACTACTGTATTGCAACTAGTATCAGTCTAGACCAGTTGGGCTGAGTGAGCCCCAACAGCTAAACTGGCAAAACTATCATTTTCGTCACATGGTTTCAGTTTGACATCAGTTTAGGTTTTGAGTTTGGACTGCTGTTTAGACATGTTTAGCTAACCATGAAACCCCCTATTATTGGTGCACATCACAAAACAGGTTTTACAAATAAACCATATAGGTTCATATCTCTGTCAATTCAAATTCAGTTTTCATTTTAATGAGCTCATACAAACATCCTCTCCACCTTATATTACTGGCAGGCATCATCCAACAGCCTGTATGAGGCAGACTGGAATGGGCCACTGCTTGTATCTCTCTCGGTTTTCAACCATTTCCATCAGGTTTTTTGCAATGGGATCATACAAACATGCTCTCCATTTGTTATTATTGCTTCACTACAAGTTATCCAGTGCAATCCTAATAATCTTCTCCCACTCCCCTCTTATGAATGTAATTTGTATTTCATGATAAATGTAGATATATTTCATAGATATTATAGATCAGGAAAAACAATAACCTGGCATGAAAAGGTGACTGCCACTCTATAGCTGGAAACTAGGGAGTAGGTTCTGAAAAAAGAAAGGGTCAGAAAAAGTGCAACATGTTTATTTAAAAACAAAACATACTATAAAGTGCTTTCCATCGAATAGTGGCTAGGTTGAAGAAAAAACATCAGTCAACCTACCTCATTTCCTGGCCTGCTACTTACAATACTGAGGGACAGACCCCGAATGTTCCAGCTTATGACCATCTTCCCTTTGCACTGCATTTTCCCTCACAGCTTCTGGATTGGCACTGTGCAAGTGGTGGGTTTCATGGGTAGCCTTCCTTTTTTTCTTTGGAGCAGCAGGGTTGTCCCCATGCAAACCCTTCCTCTTTCCTGGAGACAACCTAGAAAGTGCATGAAGGCCTAGGGGGGAACTTGGCTCTCTTGTCCTGTCAACAGGATTAGAAACAGGGATATGGTGGTGTGGAGGATGATGGCCTGCATTCCACTGGCCTAAGGAAATGGGGGTCAGCAGAGAACTAGGAAGTGTTCCTGAGTGAGGCAGTTTTTCAAGGGGGAAAGAGCTCCAACTGGGTCCTGACTTGTCTTCCCCAATTTTTGACCCAATGACAGGTAGTTGTTCCTGTTGTGAAGCATCTACATCCTTTGAAAAGCACCATCTGAATATCCATCTCATAAAAGAAAGGCTAAACCTACCATTCCAGATGGGGGAGTTGGTAGAAGGGAAGAGGTGGTGTATGTTGGATTAGTGGAAAAAGCCACCCCTGGCATGTTCATAGACATAAAGACCTTATCCAACTGTGCAGTGAGGCGATGCTCCAAGCCATGGGTGATCTCCTTGAGTCCAGGTACCACCTCTTGGCCAATGACAGCTTTGAGCTCAGGCATAAATTCTTCATGGATTGCTGCCTTAAGCTCAAACCTAATCTCTTGGTGGATTGTTGCTTTGAGGGCTGGCAAGATCTCTTGATGGATTACTTCCTTTATAGCTTTGCGTAAGGTCAGGGCCGATAGCTCATTGTCATCTTCCTCTCCTGGAAGGCTTGTGCCTGCTTCAGCAGCCTCCAGGATCTCCTTCAAATTTGCCACAGGACCTTTTACATCCAGGCCAAGAACCTTTTGGTGCCACAACCTGCTGGTGGCATGGAAGAGAGCCAGTGTGCGATCATTAACACTGCCGAGTTCTTTGTTCTGAAGACCATAAATCTTCTCTGATGTTATAGTCAACCGACCAGCCTGAGCATCATTCCCCGTAGTTGTGTCATCTTCCTGTGGATCAATGACACCAACTTGCAGCTTCCGGCCAATGGCAGCAGCCATGTGTCTGTAGGTTGACACATCCATGGCTGATTGGAGGAAGTGTGATGTTTGCTCTCTCAGTACCCTACTCATGAAGGGTGTGTCCACCATCATACCCTTCCCTGCATAGAACAGGTAATAATGCAGGCTTTCCCTTGCCTGCTCCCCCCAAAGGAAACCAGAAAATTCTTCTTCAACAGTCCTGATGAATATCAGGTACTGGAGGAGGAGGATAGAAAGATCTTCATGCATATACCGTGCAACAGGCTTAATTCGCTTAGTCACTGAGTTGTTCTATTAAGGAGGTCAGGACCGATTACCACCCTGGTTCAACCCTCCCACTTACTTTACTGTACTCAATAATGGAGGTCACTCCATCAGGAAATGCAAACAAGTTCCGTCTACAATTCTGGCGATTCCTTATCAGTATGCCTAAGATCTCGGTCCCCCTTGCTGGTTGTCCTCCTCCCACATGCATTGCAATGAGGAACAGCGTGTTCAGTTCCTGTGCTGTCTCCATCCACCTGGCCAATCTTGCCCGATTCCATGTGAGCCTGCTATCGGGCCCCTGGGCAAACCATTCCTGCTTGTCCAGCGAAATCAGCACACGATCTTTGATATCCCTGATCTTTGGATCTGACAGGAAGCTGTAGTTGGGGTCCCTGACTTGGAGGTCATCCGTGATTCGGGAACTATCTATTGGGAAGCTCAGGTCTGCCCCCAGGGAAAGTAATTGCATCTTGTCCCTAATGCTCTCCAGGATTCCCCCATAAAGAGTTGGGATGTCATCCAGCCTGACCAACCGACCCTTGACCTTCATTGACCGGTTGTCCTCACTCCATGTCACCGTCGCCAATCCCTCCCCTCCACTCATGGACACCATTGCAGCATGACGGTCCAAGGAGAGCACTGTATCAAATGGGCTAGGTTCCCCTGAACGCAGCCAACGGGTGCAAAGTTTGGTACACTCCCTTTAAAAAAATGTGTGAGTGCTTGGAGTACACAGAGCAAAAATACTTACAAAAACTCCTTACTCTGGGCCACATCCTCCACCTCCTGATCAGCAGAAGCAGATCTAATCTGCTTGATTGCCACCAACCGGAAGATGTTTAGCAGCCCTGACATCTTCCCACTTATTGCTCCACAGGATGCAAACCCACCGGTGTTAGGGTTGAGATTCAGTAACATAACAAAAACTCGGATGGGGTCCCTCTCCGACTCTTGCAGCGCCTTGGTGCTAGTAGAGAAGAGGAAAGAATAAAGAATGCCATGGACCAAGTCGTCCCATTGGCTATCCTGCCTTGAGCTCGTTGATTGGAGGGCTTGGCACATCCGTTGCGTTTTCTCCCGTTGGTCTATGGTGAGATTGATGGGGAGGTGGGAGACCTCCTCCTTTATGCAACAGTATCGAAGAGCAAATGCTATTAGGCGTAAAGCCAGGGTCTCATACCTCTTCGATGTTTCGGGGTTCTGAAAGGAGGTAAAGGGGATGTTTTCAATGGAGCTAGAATAGCATGAGTTTCATGCAGGGAAATGAAACACCGGTAGCGACTCACTGGGTTGTGCTGTTGACCCATCGCCGGATGAGAGGAGAGGTGGATGCAACCATGGATCGGACGCGATTGAAATACCCTTTCACAGGGAGACGGAGCGCTAGTAACCACGGGGGATCGGCTTCAGCCGCTGGAGCCACAGTGATCTCATTTAGCTCTCTGAATGGGAGGTTCTCCGTCTGCTGTGTCCACCCAACAACAGACAGGAAGGGGTTCACGTGTCGTGGATCACAGGAAGCTTCCATCGTCGTTGGCTTCCACCGCAACTCCTCCTTCTTAAAAAGGTCCTTGAAAAATAATCCCACATCAGCCTCCGTAGCACGGAGTGCCATATACCTCTCATCTACAGGCCAAGTCTGATGGCCTTGATTCCCAGGCAGTACCGTTTGCACTTTGCTTGGAATGAGCTTGAAGCCTGACTGGTGGTGTTTTTTGTGGTTTGTCCGCATGGACCTTTCCTTCAGACCAGCAAACCCACACCCTGGGACTGCACACATCCAACCTTGCGTGACCTGAATGAATGGAAGAGGGGCCACTTTGGACTTGGGAGGGATAATCTCAGCTGGGACTCCTAGATCGTCTAGGATGTCCTCGAGATTAGGAGGAAGGTGACCGAGCTGGCTATGGTTTACTTCCACATGCCCCTTTAAGCCTTGACGACGGATAACCACTCCACATCCCTGACACACAACGACCCTATGTTGGGGATCAATCCCTAATTGAAGGCGTTCAAATTCGGGGGGGATGATGAGGTTTTGTGCTTGGTTGGAAGGCCCGGCAGTATCGGCAGGACCCAAGTCCATCCCCTTGCCCTCACCCTCGTCCTCGTCCTCACCCTTGTCATCCTCATACTCGCCGTCATCCTTGTCCTCTTCTTCATTTGCGTCCTCCTCGTCCTCGTCCTCACCTCCACCTTCACAATAAGCCTTACCATGGAACACCTCGCTACGCAGAGTACGCTTGAACTTTGCTGCTTGGCGAGGCTGCCTGAAGAGGGAATGAGCGGATGCTGGCGTTCACGAAGAAACACTCACTTTTGGAGAAGCGTTGAAGGATGTCCTGCCATCGTCCACCCTCCTGTCAAACGCTGTCAGTAGCAGCAATGCCGTCGAAGTAATAAGTGAGGGCCGTACAAAGAGGCCCTATCTCAGAGGTTTTAAATGGAATTCGGTTGTTTGTTTATTTTCTTTGCATGAGCTACCGGATGCATCTTGGTTGCGAATCTCATTGAACCAGGGGACTGGTACGGGGTTCCTGTGGATTACGTCCGGGTTTCTCACAAACAAACGCCTGCGTATTCCATTGGACGTCCAGTAGAACGTTCCTTCCGGAATGCGGTTAAATATAGATGGCAGGGGACTTATAACTGGCGGACGCTGCCTGGTGCGGCAAGTACCCGCTACTGATTCGCCTTGATTTTGATCATTAAGCAATCTCCGGATTGTTTACATTCCGCTTCTCAGAAATTGCTACACTTACATACTTCCGAACTACATAAATGAAAACAACGGGGTGCCGTCTATTTCATTGGATCGATGGCAAGCGCCCGCGTTCTTGGCTTGGACACACGCCATGAACACAGGCGTCCCGATCTGAAAGCGTGCAAAACGGAACGTAACACACATCGCTGCATTGGGCGATGCGCGGAGATTCATTGAAGTCAGAGGAAGAAGTCGGACGCGGTGATGCGGCGTCAGGCGGATGGTCTTATGGCGCGCGTTGTAGCGGAGCGAGCCGAAATTCTATTGCCATACGGTCGGAATGGGAAATAGGGTACAGAGGACCCTGCGCCAGAGCGGGACCTAAATTTGCAGGAATACGGGCTAGGAACCATGGCCGGTGGCCTGAGGTACGTAATAGAACAAAAACACGCGTTGTAGGTGAAACGATTGCCATGATTACCCGCTAAAAAGGATAGAGCGGTGGAAGGAAGAAACAGGCCTCAGGCTCCATCGCTTGTCGAGGAAAACCGACCGTATTACTTGCGGGTATTACAAGCAACGCCCTAGGGTGGAAAATTCCACCGGCAATAGCCGAAACGGCCACCTGGCTGCGCCGTATGGTGGGCTGGAGGTTAAGGAGGCCATGCGACGTGGGGGAGTCTGACGCAGCTGAACTTGCAACTCCCTTTGCCTTGCCCGCTTATTAAACCGGATGATCCTGGGCGACTGCCGTCTGTCCCCAACCCATATCCTACGCTTCCTGAAAATACGCCGGTAGTTCTCGTTTTCTCGACCAACGTAACCTCGCGTACCACGTCATCGAGGGGCATCTAAGTCCAAACAAGCGCTTAGCGACTCCGACCCCTGCACACGCTCGCCGTGAGGCCAGGTGACCCCGATGCCATACGCCCTTAGGCCCGCATGCGGACTGACGGCATCCATCCTTCCCTCATGTCTCCAAAATCGATCAGAGCAGACGCCCCATCCTCAGCGTTGATCTCGCCACCGAGCAGACGATTGATGAGAAACGCCGTGCACTGGTGCTGTTACTGTCTGAAGTGAATTTCCGTTTCTTTTTTCAAGCAGGACGATATAGAAATGCGTAGGAGGCGAAGAATTCGAACGGTACGATGCGGGAATACGGAGAGGGCATGCTTGGATGGCATAGAAAATTTGGATCCCTTCCATGCTGGGATTGGGGCCTAACTGCGCGTTGCTTGCCCAACAGCGGGGGTAAAAAATGCCCGGAGATCGCCCCACCGGGATTCACGACAACTGGGATATCTCGTTCACAGCGATCGCAGGGTGACACGAAACGTAGCAATCGGGATCTCGGGGTCTAAATTGGCTCCCGTTAGTACGAAGGCGTAATGTGCGGGGGAACAACCTTTTTACATACGTTCCAGCGACTTGGACATCGCATGCCAGGCGGCGGACCCTCATTATTCATCGGTATCCTTATACGAAGCCCGGTCCTTCAGGCCTTGGTGAGGACCTGCTCAGCACTATGCAACCAGGCTCCCTGAGCTGGTGGCTACATGGCCGACTACACCCCGCTGGGGGCATAATCGTTTGAGCGACCCTGGGTACGAAT